AAGGAAGGAAGGAAGGAAGGAAGGAAGGAAGGAAGGAAGGAAGGAAGGAAGGAAGGAAGGAAGGAAGGAAGGAAGGAGGCTTCTTGCTTCTCGTGGCCTGGGGCTGCTGGGAGCAGTGGGTGGGGCTTGTTGCATGTGCCCGCCCCCTGGGCTCTTTACTGCTGGAGCTCCGCTCCTGTGCGCTCCTGCAGGAAATGACCCCTGAGCATAACCATACCCAGACTGTGGTCTCTGAGTACAAGATTCAGAGGACATTCAGTTAGTGTTACCATCCTCTACGTGGGGCCTGGAGCTCTCCCAGAAGACTATAGAGTCTGGGAGAAATGGAAGTCCTAGAGTGACACCACATCCCTGCTTAGTTCTCTGCCCTCCCCAAACTCTGCTCCCCACCGCAGGCACAAATCTCTTGGAGCTGGCAAGGCTATATTCAGTAGGGGCCCAATCTGTGGACTTTCCAGAGTCATCTCTTGTGGGCCACTTTTGGAAAGGAGGGTGCTGGACTAGCTGGGACATTTAATGTAACTCTGCAAGGGAATTCGTATTTCATATATGTTCTCACACAGGTAAAATGCCTCATACAGCAATACTCTCATACATGGTGTCATGCATGTACATTACCCAGACGACGTGGAAATGCCCAGCACGACTCATCAAAATACCTATGGTGAAACGAGCTCTAGTACACAAAATTACACTAGAATAAGAACATGCCATCTTTGAGGTGCCACGAGACCTCCTTTTGGTTTCCACCAGCACACATCACATCATATCATATCACATCGACAATACCACCTAGAAAAAAAAAAACAGTATCACCTACAAACAGACGAAAAACCACAACACTGTTGATACAGCAAACTTTAACTGATTTGAAACTGGTTTCCCTCACAGTTCCCATGGTTTCCCTCAGTGAATGAAGGGAACTGTAATTGAGATAATTCTGAGAAAGAGTGCTTTGAATCCCTAACTCCTTTAAGAAACTACAATACCCAGCATGCCTTGCCATGAGTCCTTAGCCAATTTAAAGGTTTGTTTGCACGGATTCTTTTCTGATGGCCTATATTTCTGGAACTACTGCAAACAGGTATTTGATTTGCCATGCGGCAAGGGAGGGATCTGGAACACATAAATCAGGGGGGGCCAAACTGCAGCTCGGGCTCTTTCACACAGTCTAATTTAATCTTAATAAAAAGCATATTTGCATATTTTTCAATACAAATGTATGTGTAATATCTGATCATGTCTTGTGGCTCTCAACCATCTGATGTTTACTCTGTATGGCTGTTACGTTAAGCAAGTTTGGCCACCCCTGACAGAAATCATCGGCCTCCATTCCTCTGATCCCAATCACATCACACCCTCCTAAAGCTGTGCCCCCCCCAACCCCCTGGAAACAACCAAACAAGAATAGCCATTGGGACTAACACTCATCCAAGCTGTGCATTATGTATAGTCAGCCCAACACTAGCCCTGACATGGACGGCCCAGGCTCGTCCAGTCTTGTCTGTTCTTGGAAGCTAAGCAGGATTGGCCCTGGCTAGTATTTTGGGTGGGAGACTTGCAACGAATACCAGGGTTGTGATCTAGAGCCAGGCAATGACAAACCACCTCTGGACCTCTCTTGCCTTGAAAACCCTACGGGGTCGCCATAAGTCAGCTATGACTCAACAGCACTTTCCACCACACGGTGACCAACTCAGGTTTGCTTTTCTGTATTGTGCACAATAGGAGCTGTGGTGGCTCAAGTGGTTAAGACACTGAACTGCAGGCTATGGAAGGTCAGTAGTTCAGCAGTTCGAGACCCGGGTGCCCCATGACGGAGTGAGCTCCTGTCTCTAGTTCCACATCCTGCCAACCTAGCAGTTCAAAAGCAAGAAATTGCAAGTAGATAAATAGGTACCACTTCAGTGGGAAGGTAACAGCGTTCCGTGCGCCTTGGTGTTTAGTCATGCCGGCCACATGACCATGGAAACGTCTTCGGACAGCGCTGGCTCTTCGGCTTGGAAACAGAGATGAGCACCGCAACCCTAGAGTCGGATTCGACTTGCTTTCCAGCAAGGGAAACCTTTACCTTTACTTTTTATTGTGCACAATAACCTGTAATATTTATTTATTTGTTTAATTTATATCCCGCCCCCCCCCCGCCAAGGTGGGCTCAGGGCGGCTTACATAAAAATATAAAAAATAATTAAAACAGAATTAAATAAGTTGTTGAAGGCTTTCACCGCTGGAGTTCATTAGGTGTTGTAGATTTTCCTGGCTGTATGGCTGTGGTCTTGGCAAATTAAAGGGGCCCAGCATGCCTGGGTACTTAGGAAAAGAGCAAAAGGTGGAATCAGAAGGGGGGGG